CGGGGAGATGGCCCTAAAACTGTTTCGCAAGTTTATGGAGGGTAATAAATTATTACAGTTTGTCTGATAGTTACAGTTAATGGCTACATTATTTTTCAGCAGGTCCACCATCATTGACACTTAGTGCCTTAACTATGTTATACAAATTTTAAAAGTGGGCAGGTGAAATCAATATTATTCTTAAATTTTAGGTCCATGATTTTTTTTTAAAAGGACATAGGAGGGTTTCTATTATTTGTTACTTGAGATGACATCTGTAAAACTTCTTTGACAACAATATTTTATGGGACAGTTTTGTAGTGTAGATGTTTATTTTGAGGGAAAGTGTCCCACCTTTTTCAGGTTTATGACATTTGCGGCTCTCCTTTTCAGGTCCATGTAATACATACATACATATTTATACAGTTTAAGCACTCTCTGGATTGGGTGCAGAGCTTGAAATAGGTGTTCACTATACAGCTATTTCGAGAAAGGTTGTCGGAAAAAGTGCACGCAACAATCCCAAAAGGTATTGTGGGTGGTTTGGAGTGCACTGTTCTTCAAAGAAATTTGAAAGAATGGTACTGGAGGCCATGGACATATGTTTGCGAGTGCTAAACGAAAGCAACAAAAGTAGGTTCGACAGCCGCAGTCATTTGGAACAGTGTATTGATCTTATCCCATATTACCTTTTGGGATTGTCGCGTGCACGTTTTTTTCCGACAACCTTTCTTGAAATAGCTGTATACGGGTATATTGCTTCGCTCATTGCTTGCAGTTTGAGCACTCTTGTGACTCCAAAATTGCAATCCAACAATGTGTAACTGTACATCCTGTGCCCATTAAGTTCAGGAGTTGCCATAAAGCTAGTATGGTAACAACTGGTAGGGCACATTATATACATAATGGAACATACATACATACAAGCGTTTTATTGAGTCTCCTTTAACAGGGCTTTTCAGACACAATTAACTAATTACAGCTAAAATTTACAGAAATAAAATTAAAAGTTAAGAAGCTAAACTAGAAGTATTCATTAAATATACTATTGAACAATAAATTAGAAATAAAAATTTTTAGTCACGCAATCTATTTGTTAAGTATACAATTAAAATTATCTCTTTTTAAAAACCTTGATGTCTTTAATGTTTTGAAGGTCCTTTGGCTGGTCATTACACTGTTTAGCCCCACAAAAGTAAAAACCTCATTGCCTTGCTGACAACTAGCAGCGTGGAAGGAATCTAAATTTCTCTAAATTCAACTCGTTTCTGCCATCATCAAAGTCTTCCCAAAAAAACAAGTGACTTGAGTCTATAATATTGTTTGCTTTACAATAATAATAATAATAATAATAACGATAATAATAATAATAATGTTTCCTTTTTTAATTTTTATACGTGGTGTTCAGATGTCAAGTCATGTGATCCCGATCCATCATCTTTTGAGAGCTGTTCTGTCCCTGAACAGAGGGTGTCAGTCAGTGTTTCCAGCATCCCTGGCACAGCCTACTCCCAACAGTTTTTCGGCAGCCTCTGACTCCCAGTTGTATACCAGTTGTGCCTCAAATGTCTCCAATCAGAGCACAAGCAGCATTCCAAATCCTCAAGTCAGTGTAGATCTTCCAACAGCATCCATGGCTCAACTCTCTACCGACCTCTCGCCAGATCATCATGCACTGCAGTCTGCCAGGGTCCCTTCACCTACATCCCCCAGTAAATATGGTTTGTTATGTTTTACTGTCTTCTTCACCTTTTATCACAGTCGAACCCCACTTTACCGACACCTGCTTAATATGGACGCCTCATTATTGCAGATAGCTTGCTTAATTGTCCCGGGGGAAAAGCCCTTACATTCTCTCTAAATTCAACCCGCTTAATACGGACACCTCATTAATAAGGACACTTTCTATGATCCCCTCTGTGTTCGTATTTACTTGCCTCGACTGTATTTTGACATGTAAACAAACAGTATATTTTGTGTTACCCGTTACTTTCTCAAATCATAAGACAGAGCTAAGAATGATGGAAGAATCATGTATGTCTACATCCTCTACATTTATTAAGTTGACAAAATCTTGTACGATATCACATCAACTGTAAATATAAGCTAAAATAAATTAGTATCACCCAACTAGTGGACTAATGCAAATCCTGCATTTTAATTGGCTATGCTACTAGAGGACTATTACTAATAGCCATCGAGTAGCGAAATTTGCCGGTTTTGAAAAAACATTGGCCAAAACATTGGCCACCTCTCCGCGTTTTGTGGAATGCCACAGTCTTTCAGCTTTCATGGCTGCTCTGTTTTCATCGCAAACAACATTTACATGCGATGAACGATGAACTAAATTCAACAAACTGTTGAAAACGTGGCCCAATTATCAATCGCCAACTTGATCTAGTTCACTTGAGCTTTCCTTGCAGTTTGTAACAGTATTGTGGGTCACTTTTCCTTTTTGGAGATGTTTTGTTACGAACAGTTTTGGTTGGATTTTCGCCAACTTCACATCTGAATGAATGAATGAATTTTCACAAGCTATGCTTTCAAAATCGTGACAGTTATGTAACTTCATGCAATTTTGGTGCAATCGAGCATAAAGCTTTTCTTTTGTTTTATTCCCAAATAAATATTTCTTCAACTTGCCTTTGCTAACTTTGTAACTATTGCCTATTCTTTCCGACTAGTTGGGTGATACTTAAACAATTAGACCCTTCACCCGTAAGGGCCATGGATCAATAGCCCATTCGGCTTCACCTCTGCTCATGTATATGTAACAATTAGACCCGTAGACCCGTAGCCCTTCACTGTTTGGTATTAAGTGTTCTTCTGTGTTTATGTCTACTAGGTTATGACTAAGTTTGTTTTTTGTACATTAGAGTCATTTAATCCGTTTCTCTTTCTTCTTCTTTCTAATGTGTCCCATTTCAGATCGGATACTAACATGTCTGTCACACTTGCTGTTTTGTTGAAGTTTTGAAGGCAAAAACAAGCAGCTTTTCCTTGAACTCTCTCCAAGGTTGAAATGTCTTTTTTGTAGTGTAGGTCCCACGAGGCACTTGCGTACTCCAGTTTGGGTCAGACTATGGTGGTATAGGTACTTTCCTGGGGCAGTTCCAAAAGATTTCTGTCGATCAACCCCAAGGATTGACTTGTCGTACTTGAGATAGAGGAAATGTGTTCAGACCACTTTAATTTACTGTTAACAGTAATTTAACCTGGTCTGACCATGAAAGAAATTGTCTTTCCCAGCCCTTGCAAGTAACAATGCAGAAATAATTTTATTGGGCCCACAGATTGTGTCATTCCTTTAAAGAAAATCCCACAAGTATCCCCTTTCTACGGGAGTCTCCCTGGAAATTAAGAACGACTTCTTCATATATTTATGATTAGCATCGGAATCAGTGTTGAGAGGACTGGCTTCTACAGAAATTTACTTGAAAAAGGTGCACAAAACCGTTTCCAAAATGATGCTTGCAGTGGACCAGCGAGCTGGACATCGATGCCTTAGAAGCGAAGGGGCACTGGGCCACACTAGAAGAACTGTTGGAAGTAGTGGGGCGCTACTTACCGCACTACGAGAGCGTGCTGAAATCATGCAAGGAGAAACCGGGTGCTGTTTTGCCAATAGATTCATCTTTTGCTACCAAATTTTTGGCCGTCTATTTATTTATCAAGGCCAAGAACTTGCACCCCATGACATATCAGTACTTAACAGTGGAAATGATGAACAAAGCCAAGACTAACGATGGATTTATAGACCAGAAAATGTTCAAAACGGCTGGAAAATTTGGCTTCGATTCTCTTTACCTGACTGAGACAAGCATGCAAGTGTTGGATGGCTACATCAACCACATTTGCCCCCTACTAAGACCGACCTGCGACTTTGTATTGGTGACAAGAAATGGAGAGCAGCACAATAAGCGGGGAGAGCTAATAAGTAAACTGGTCGTCGATGCAACGGGCAAATACGTTCACCCGACTCGCTATCGACAGATTGTGGAGACCGCAAGTTGCAGGCAGCTGAGCAGCAGCGCACAGAGCACAATCTCCAAGGACCAGAAACAGCTCTGTTGTTACAAGGGTTCACTATCAGAAGAAGTGATCGCGTGAGGTGGCAAGCATAGCATATGAATATTTGGAACAATTGCACGGGAAAAAGGGATCAGAGCTAGAAATAGACGTGCACTCGAGGCTTTCAGGCAATTCTGCGTCATCTGAAGATCAAAATGGTAGCAAAACCGATACTTCCTCTAACGTCGAGGAAGAAAAGATCACAGAAACACCACCCAAGCGTCTTTCAGGTGTCCCGAGACTAAAGCGAGAAAATGCGTTTATAGTGACAGATTTCCCGGCGAGAAAAAAGAGTTTGATGTTCACCCCTGAAAAAGACAATTATCTAAAAGCAGGCATTGAGCAACACGGCTACAGTCAATGGAAAGCAATTCTCAGGGATACCGAATTTCATTTTCAAGAGGGAAGGACAGCCAACTCACTGCTGAGCCGTGCAGTGCGAAGATTCTGATCGCTTTCTAAGTTATCCTAGAACTTTACATTTACCCCAGAATAAAAAGATATCCTTGAAATATAAAAACGATAAAGGCAATCAGCGATATGGTTCAGTACATGACAAGCAACATTTTATTGTTGTTGTAAGAAGAAATAAATTACCGTTGACTTGAGAAATACATGTTTATTTTACTGCTTTGGCAATGCTTTTTCGTAACTCGCTGGCTTGAGGAGGAACGCTTGCGCTTACTGGCTTCAGCAGTTATGGTTCGGACTGACATTGCTCTGCTAGGGACAGGAGTCATGAAAAATGTTGCTTTGTCATTGTCCCTGTCATCGTCAGATCCAGTAACGTAGCTGAAGGTGCACAGCAACTGCGTGCTATATTGTTCCAGGTTGTCTTGGGGCACGTAATTCGGTGTTCTTGGTTTTTCTTCCTCTAATACCTCTTCCATTTCTTCTCTCTGGCTCGAGCTCGGGACTGGCAGTGCTTCGAAGAGGGTTTTCACCATGTGTTAGTCTTCCTTTCTCAACAATGCGAACTCCACGCATACCTTTTTCCTCCCCACAAGGGCTTCCCAGCATCCAAGAGTTCCTAAGTTGTTGTGGTGGTCCTTGAGCTTTTCTTCTAGGATTTCACACAGGGCATCCATTGAGTCTCTCATGTCAGGCGCAATACTTGATTCCAGGATGACCATGCATTCGTTTAACTCCCTCTCTGTATTCCTCAACCATAGTGACTTGAATGCTTCCCTTACCCTCTTCTTCTCTTTTCGCCCTGCCCTGGCTGTCATCCGTTCGTGAATGGGCAGATCATTTCTTATCGGTGTGGGAAGGGGCTCATTTGGATCGTCGGGTAGCAAACGTACATTTTCTTTGGAGACGCTGTTGATGTCTCTCATGCCGTTGTATCTCCAGCCACATCCTCTCTTCGTTTTCCTGTAAACCCTTTTCCAGTAAGAGGCTGAGGTGACGGTTATCCGAAGACCCTGGTAAAGTTTGTGCAAGCAAGTTCTTTAATGCGTGTGTGGTTTCATCATCATCATCGGCATCCATGATTTGGTCCTTGTTATCGTCTCCTGCAGTGTCCTCTTTGTCTCGGGGATTTGCGCGTAAATCAGCTAAGAGGTCGGTCAACTCCACATTTGTTAAAACCTCTTTCTCAGTCTCCAGCAGTGCGCCTTCATCGTTTGGTGTGTTTCGCTCCGTGTCTTCGTCGTCGTCATCAGAACGTTCTTCTTCATCTGTATCTACCCTCCCTTTCGATGCAGCCCACAAAACACATTCCATAGGATGCTTGCGCAGCCACTGGGCAGCCTTCTTTTTCGGACTTGACAGGCTTTTGAAGAAGTAATACCTTAGCCTTCAGTCCATAGCCGGCTGATCTTCCTCCTTGAATTGAAGTTTTTGCTGTGCAGTCATGAACATGGGACATCGACTGAAAAATGACTTGGCTGTTTTGTACTTGACATCGCAGGCTGTGTACCCTCCTCAAGTGAGTATCTTCCGTCGTCCACATCGAGGGTCGATGGAGTGGCCTTGTCAATGAATATCACCTCAGTGTTCTTGCCAATCATTGCCTTGTTGAACACTTTTTGCTTGGTTAAAGTTGCTACGTTGCTGTGGTGAATCAGCCCCAGTATTGGGTAAAACAGGCTTATCTTTCTGCTATCCGGCTCACCGACAAGGCATGGCACTCTCTGTGCTTCATTTGGTTGAAATTCAGAAGTCTCAAGAAATCTTCGCAAAACAAACCAATCTCGTTTTCTGTCAGGCTGTTTTCCAAAAGGTCTTGGAAGTATTTAGGCTGCGGGACTTTGGAAGGATCATAACGAGAGAAAGCCCTGGGAGTCATAAGGCCCATTTTCTCTGCTGGAATTGCGTTGTTCAAGAACCGTCTTTCCGAGACAGACTAACATTTCCCTTCGTTTACCTCTACGAGGTTGTAGTCGACAACAATGGGGGGAATTACTTCACAATCAGGGTCAGCCAGGATATCGATAACTTTTTCAGGTCCCTCAGCAGTCTTGCCTTAAATGACTCATTTGCAGCTAGAATGTTCACAAACGCCTTCACATCGCACTTGTAGGAGTAGGTGTAAGTGGCACCTTCACACTTTTTATAAACAGTGCCCCTGTAAAGGGCGTATTCCAGCCTCCTCATTTATGAGGACTGTAAGCTTGTCACCTAGTCGCGCTTCGATGCTGTCACTTGTTCTTTCTTCTTGGGATTCTTGGCTGTTACCATCCAAGCCATAACGATCAATCACTAACTTCGCTCCCATCATTTTATCTATTGCTTCAGAAACAATAGACTTAAACGAGGATTGGATGACACGAACGCTGACTCCGTTTTCTGTTCCACATTCCTCCACATCCATTGATTCAGAATCGCTTAAAAACCCCTCTGCCACAGTCAGAAAACACCGCTGGTAGGAAGATGTTACTAAGTCCTGCATAAACTTGTTGTTGTGATCCTTTAATACTTTGAATAGCTCCTTCATCGCAAGAGATTCTTTACCTTGTCGACAGGGAACCTTATTTTGAAAAAAAAGNATATCGATAACTTTTTCAGGTCCCTCAGCAGTCTTGCCTTAAATGACTCATTTGCAGCTAGAATGTTCACAAACGCCTTCACATCGCACTTGTAGGAGTAGGTGTAAGTGGCACCTTCACACTTTTTATAAACAGTGCCCCTGTAAAGGGCGTATTCCAGCCTCCTCATTTATGAGGACTGTAAGCTTGTCACCTAGTCGCGCTTCGATGCTGTCACTTGTTCTTTCTTCTTGGGATTCTTGGCTGTTACCATCCAAGCCATAACGATCAATCACTAACTTCGCTCCCATCATTTTATCTATTGCTTCAGAAACAATAGACTTAAACGAGGATTGGATGACACGAACGCTGACTCCGTTTTCTGTTCCACATTCCTCCACATCCATTGATTCAGAATCGCTTAAAAACCCCTCTGCCACAGTCAGAAAACACCGCTGGTAGGAAGATGTTACTAAGTCCTGCATAAACTTGTTGTTGTGATCCTTTAATACTTTGAATAGCTCCTTCATCGCAAGAGATTCTTTACCTTGTCGACAGGGAACCTTATTTTGAAAAAAAAGAAATAGAAAGTTTGCTTGAGTGAAATAACAAAAACAAAGTTAAGGCTATACAACGCTTTATTTTGCTACAAGAAAATACTTTAACATGATGAGGAGCCAAGCATGAGAAAATAATTTCATTCAGAATCTTGTGAAAAATTTACTTTGATATATACTGCAAAGACTAACCGTAAAAAGACAGTATGTTAACTATTCTGCAGACTGTTAGTAATGGTTTAGACTAGGCAGGGGCTAGACATATTTTGCTTGCAGCAGGGATACAATTATACTTAAATAAAATCCTACAAATGAACAATCCTAGAAGTATTCCCTGTAAAACACTTATAATCACTAACTTCTGAGGAAAACAGAAACCCTTACAAACGCTTATCAAATGTTGTTTTACCTTAAATGTTTGTACAACAAAACTCTAGGACAAATGCTATAAAAACACTGATTTTCAAATAACCTAAAGTTGTTGTTCTCGTTTTTAAAAGATCCGCGCGTTTGTAAAAACAATTAATTTATGATGCACAAAGGCAAAACGTACCGTGTTTGCGATTGCATGAACGCCACATTCAAGTAAGGTGCGGTGAATAGTAATGGGATTTGCTTGGGCTCCATTTGGTGTATTCAGTGCAATCCAATAATTTATGGGGGGAAGAAGCTTTTTGTTCACCAAAGCAGGGTGGCTAGAAATCCAGCTTTGGCTTGAAGAACTTGACAGTTGAGTTGTGTAATGCTCGCTATTGCTTTCCTCTCCGTTATCCTCTAGGTTTTTTTAATTTTTCTTCGGCGTTTTCTTTGGCCCCTTGTGTGCCTATAGCACTAAACAAAAAGGCCACACTTTGTACTCCTGCAAAAAATGATATCGAAATCAGGTTTCCTTATTCAACCAATCGATTCATAATTGACATTTCAATTCATTTTGAATACAAACCTTGCAACACCTTGTCACAAGCGTCTCGCGTCCTGCAAACCTCGTTCCATCCTTTCTGTAGGCCTTCATCGATATTGCATGTACACTTACAACTCACTACACTACATTTGTCCACAACTATTGGACTTAAATAGCACAAAGAAGCTCCTTTAATTTTCTGACTGTTCAGTTGGTGACAAGGAAAATTTGCTCTTCGCTTGCTCATCGTGAAGCGAAGACTGATGTATCATCAACAACGTAACATGCTTTTATAGGAGTAAGCATGTCACTTCACTGTGAATAATATTAATTATACAATGAAAGTTTCCCAGTAGACAAATTCTGACACCCTTATCCATCGCCCAACCTTAGTCACACACAGTTATTATGTAATCCAAAAATGTGATACTTGACAACTATTACTGAAGACTATTTGACCTAAATTAGTGACATGATTCTGTTTCCGTGAAATCCATGAAATCTGCAAAATCCTATGACAGAAAAACCTTCTTTGTGATGCATTCCAGCTAATGAAATCCACATGAACTGCCAGTTTTACCCTATTCAAAGATTGTGTAGAGGAAGGAAATAATGGTTTCTACGGAATTAACGGAGAACTCAATACTAAATAAGACTTTGCTAAAGACTTTCGTGAGAAGAGGTGGATTTTACGGAAAAAAATGAAAATAAAAAAAATAAAAAATAATAATAATAGTTATTATGATTTTATTATTTTAATATAATAATAATTATTATTATTATCATTATGTTATCATTATTTTTATTTTTTTTTATTATGATTGTTACTATGTAACTTATCCGTCTTTTCCGTGAAATCCGTTGTATCCAGCCCAAAAGTAGAGTTTCTTCTTTGATACCCTCATTAAAATTCTTATTTCTGTTAAGTCCAAGGAATCCGTATTGTCCACTCTTATGGAATACAACTCTGGTATCCTTCAATGTCAATTATCACATTATTCCAGTGGAAGGATTTTCCGGATTTCGCAGATTTAGTTGATTTTTTTCTCTATTTTGCCCAATATGTTTTAGCAATAGAAGAGTGATGTATGTGTTTGTTTTGATTTAGCCCTCAAAATTCTCATTGAACGATATGAGGAGTATCATGAAGTAAGATCGCCCTGGGTAAACCCTTGTTTGCTGATATAAATTTAAGGCTAACATCTCTTCATACAGTATAGGAACAAGTGTTCCTTTCAATTGCCGTTCCTTTCACAAGGAACGCTTTCACGGAAAAACATCCAGATTTATTTGCAGTTTTTAGCAAAAGATCTGAGAATGTGCTTTTTAGCTTTTTCCTGCATAAAACTACTAAGAGATATAGTTTTAGAAAGATCTTCGCAGTACTTAGTATTATTTTAAGGTTTCAAAAAAAGGGAACTGAATTTTTGGGAAATGATCATATACATTCCCCAAAAGTAATGATAGCTATATTTCAGGTTAAAACACTGTAGTTTTCAATTGCATATTTGTCCTCAGTATTGTCAGGCCGTTTTTTACATGAGGAAACTTTCAAAGTTTGATTTTAAGTGACGTGACACGAGGAAACATCTCTTTTTCAAAAACGTAGTGTTCCGCGCCTTTTTGCTTTTTGTTCCTTTAATGGCTTTAGGAACAACCTAGGAACGCACAATAAAGGAACTTTATTTGCACAATAGGAACAAAGGTCGGCAAATTTTGGAACAATCTGGTCCGTTAGCAGCAAATTGGAACACAAAGTTCCTTTTCGTTTTAGTCAAAAGGAACAACTGGTTGCTCTTTTATCCTTTCAGGAACAACAGTTCCGATTTCTCTTCATGTTCCTTTCGAAGTGATTGGGGAACAAATGTTCCCAATCTAATTTCTCACTCTACACAGTAAGGAACAAATTGTTCCTATTTACTGGCATATCCACTGCTGTTCGGAACGCCTTGTTCCCTTTCGGTTCAAATTGTTCCTATTCATGCCCAACAGGAACGAAATTGTTCCTAACCGAGGTGGTTTTTGTTCCTCAAGATGGGTGTTATGTTCCGCTTATAAATGGGAACAGGTTCCGAATGTTTGACAAAGGAACTAGCGTTCCATTTTGCGCAAAGTGTAAAAAAGAATAGGGACCAATAGTTCCTATTTGTCGTAGGCTATCTGAAACTACTGTCCATCACCTCTGCTGTACAAATTTATCAAAACATGTTTCCGTCAACAATCAAGTTAAGTAAGAGACTTGCCCGCTGCATGCTTAATCTCGTTTGGGCTTGCCCACGCAAGTTCAGGATCGTGTCTTTGTTCCTTTTGATTAATTGTGTACCAAATACAGACAAGAAAACAATGGGACAAGGGGCAAGAATGACCAAGTGTGGGCAGAGATGGGCTAACAAATATCTCATTGGCGAATAGGATGATCTCTTTGGGACCCTTTTGCTAGTATAAGTGCATGCATACTTTAGAAAGATATCAATTTCAAGCTAATGCTTAAGATGAACAAACGAGGAAAGGATGTCAACTGGTCAAAGTTAGCAAATGCATCGCCTAAACCAAAGAGACTTCACTTAGAAGAGGATGACTGTGATGGTCTTTTTCACTGCCCAGTGCAAATTTGTGAGCACGATGGATTCACTACGCAAAGAGGCTGTAGAAAACACGTAAAGAACAAACACAGTTGGTACTATTACTTCGACTAGAAGCCAGACACTGCTCAAATCGATGCGCTAAATGTCGATGAAACCAACAATTGTGAAGCCAGTGATCAGAAGATTATACCGCGTAAAAGCAGGGCAATTGCTTCTTTTGATCCTACAAACAACATTGCCAAGAACTTTTTTCCGTGGCTAACTGGCAGTGGTGGGGGCTGCAAAAGCGATCAGCAAGCACGACAGATCGTAAGCAAGTGCTTAAAGTTTCTCAAGTTTTGTTGCGAAGACAAAGAGTAGCTCACATTTGACATTGTGGACTTTAGTTTCTGTTCACTGAATCTGCTTTTCAAGTTTGTTGATACGATGCAGGATGATTGGAATCATAGGCTATTTGGATGCCATTGCAGAATTGGTGGATTATCGAAAAGTGAACGGAGCATCCGAATCAGTGTTGAAAGGGCTGGCCTCAACAGAAATTTACTTAAAAAAAGGTGCGCAAAACCCTTTCGAAAATGATACGCTTGCAAGACCAGCGAACTCGACATCGATGCCTTAGAAGCCAAGGGGCACTGGGCCACACTAGAGGAACTGTTGGAAGTCGTGGGGCGCTACTTACCGCACTACAAGAGTGTACTGCAATCATGCAAGGAGAAACCAGGTGCTGTTTTGCCAATAGATTTATCTTTTGCTACCAAACTTTTGGCCGTCTATTTATTTATCAAGGTCAAGGGTTCGCGCCCCATGACATATCAGTACTTAACGGTGGAGATGGTGAACAAAGCCAAGACTAACGGTGGATTTATAGACCAGAAAATGTTCAAAACGGCTGGAAAATTTGTTTTCGATTCTCTTTACCTGACTGAGACGAGCATGCAAGTGTTGGATGGCTACATCAACCAAATTCGCCCCCTACTCATACCGACCTGCGACTTTGTATTGGTGACAAGAAATGGAGGGTAGCACAACAAGCTGGGAGAGCTAATGAGTAAACTGGTCTTCGATGCAACGGGCAAATACGTTCACCCGACTCGCTATCGACAGATTGTGGAGACCGCGAGTTACAGGCAGCTGAGCAGCAGCGCACAGAGCACAATTTCCAAGGACCAGAAACATAGCTCTGTTGTAGCAAGGGTTCACTATCAGAAGCAGCGATCGCGTGAGGTGGCGAGCAAAGCACATGAATATTTGGAACGATTGCACGGGAAAAAGGGATCAGAGCTAGAAATAGACGTGTGCTCGAGGCTTTCAATTCTGAAGATCAAAATGGTAGCAAAACCGATACTTCCTCCAGCGGCGAGGGAGAAACGATCACAGAAACACCACCCAAGCGTCTTTCAGGTGTCCCGAGACTAAAGCGAGAAAATGCGTTTATAGTGACAGATTTCCCGGCAAGAAAAAAGAGTTTGATGTTCACCCTTGAAGAAGACAATTATCTAAAAGCAGGCATTGAGCGACACAGCTACGGTCAATGGAAAGCGATTCTCAGAGATCCCGAATTTCGTTTTCAAGAGGGAAGGACAGCCAACTCTCTGCTGAGCCGTGCAGCGCGAAGATTCGGATCACTTTCTAAGTTATCCTAGAACTTAACATTAACCCCAGAATAAAAAGATATCCTTGAAATATAAATAACGACAAAGGCAATCAGCAATATGGTTCAGTACATGACAAGCAACATTTTATTGTTGTTGTAAGAAGAAATAAATTACTGTTGACTTGAGAAATACATGTTTATTTTGTTGCTTTGGCAATGATTTTTCGTAACTCGCTGGCTTGAGGAGGAACGCTTGTGCTCACTGGCTTCTGTGGTTGTGGTTCAGTCTGAATGCGCACTTGGATGCGGCTGTCTAGTGCTTGAGCTTGGAACAGGTGTCACCAAGATACTCAGGTCTTCTTCTTCTTGTTGTTCTTCGGCATCAACACCGTCACCGTCCTGATTGGCAAGTGGCAGTCTCTCCGCTACACTCATGACCAGGTACTGTTGGCGCTGGTCCAGAAGCCCGAGAAGCGTGCACACCCTCCTCCGTTCCGCCACAGCCTCGGCAGTTCGAAACGTTCCCAGAGAAACGTGATGGTCCCTGAGTTTGCCTGTCAATTGCTTTATGTAGGCCTTCAACATGGAACGCTCCGACAAGTCGTCACTAGCCTGGTACCGTTCACAGCATCGCTTTAAATCCTTCTCGGTGGATCTCAACCACGTTCCCTGAAACGCTTCTCTGGCAGCCTCTCGACAAGCCTGTTCTTCGGCTGCTACCCGTGCTTGGTCATACCGCTCCAGATCCCTTGTAATTGGACTGGGAGTGGGATCGTCGAGGTCGTCAGGTAACAGGCTCAAGTTTGCGTTTGATACGCCCCTGGAGCGAAGGAAGTCCGCCCTCTTTCTGCGTCGCTCCCCTCGTGACCTTTCTTCTTCCCGTTTTTTGTGCTTCTCCGTCCTCAGCATCTGCGTGAGCTGTCTGTGGCGCAGGGAACCCGGCTGTGTCTTCTCAAGGAGATCTCGTAAATGCGCCATACGATCTGCCTGTGAGCATGAAGACGAAACTGAATCGCCATCGCTCTCCTCCTTTGGATTTTCGTCGCCTGACGTGTCAACCGCTGATATCTTTTTGGCCAAAAGCACCGGCAGTGACATTGACCGAATCTCTGCCTTCTCTTCTTCACGCAGCGTTATCATTGATTTATTAAACACCTTCTGCTTTGTCATCGTGGCCACGTTGCTGTGATGGATGAGGCCTAGAATGGGCATGAACAAACCCGTCTTTCCACTGTTGGCATCGCCTACCAAACACGGTACCTTGTCTTTGTGCTCTTTTTTATTGTAGAGAAGCAGCTTTAGGAAATCGTCACAGAACTTCGCCACCTCCTGCGGGCTTAGGCTGTTCTCTAAGACTTCCCGAAAGTACTTTGGATCAGGATCTCTTGCAGAGTCGAAGGAACAGAATGCTCTCGGTGAGATCTTTCCCACCTGTTGCTCCTCAATGGCATCTTCAACAAAGTCCCGTCGGCTGATGGACCAACAGCGGTCGTCTTTTACCTCAATGAGGTCGTAGTTGATTATTAACAGCGAAAAAAGTTTGCAGAATGGATCGGATAACAGGTCGATCACTCTCTTCATTTCGCAAAGAAGTCTTGACTTGAAGAACTCGTTGGTGGCGAGGGTGTTGACGAAAGCTCTTGCCTCGCATTTACACAAATACGTGTATCTGGCTTGGTCATTCTTCTTATAGACTTTGCCCCGGTAGCTTGCATAGCCCAGTTTTCTCATGGCGATCGCTATATCGTTAACGAGGATGCAAGTTTATCCGCCGACAGCATCTTATCCTCATCGCACGTCATGGATAGCTGACTGGTGGAAGCTTGTGACGTTGTCGTGCTGGACTCAAAGCCAAATTTGTCTAATTGTAGCTTAGCTGCGGTCAGAAGTTCGACTGCACTCAGTAAGGAAGTGTGAAATTTCGGGTTAACCAGGGTCACTCTCACCACATTTTCAGTTCCACACTCGTCCAACTCCTGGGTGCATAAGCCATCATTGCCGATCACCTTTCTTGCTTCGTCTTGGTTACAGTGTTTGAAGGACGAGCTAACGAGGTCTTGCATAAATGGATTTTTGTGATCTTTCAACACTGTAAAGTTCTTCTGTGGCTGGGGATTCTTTTCCCTCTTGAAACTGCACCTAAAGGATATCAAATTGAAGCATTTTACCTAACACGGTTCTACGTTTCCTCTTTCTTCACTGACTGACCGCTTGTATCGTTTATTATTGTCATTATTATCATCATTACTATTATTAACAACTAATTCGGGGTGCACCAAAACCTATGTCTGATTGTCCGGGACAGGTAGAAATTCAGTTTGCACATGTAAACCTTTGACATGACTTGTCTGTGGGACAACTTTTTCAATTAGAAAAAAAAACCGGAAACAATTGAAAACTGAGTTCAAATTACAGTAGAATTACTTCTGTTACGACAAAAATCATTCCGAAACAAAAAATTCAAGTTGATAATGGCAGTGTCACAAGGAAAAAGTACAGTCGTTGTTGTTAGGTTTTCTTTCAAAGCAACCGAGAAGAGAAAAAATCTTAAATGTTAGCAAAAAAATAAATGAATCAAGAGATGCTGAATACTTTGTTCATGGCTAAGGGAATGCTTGGGTTATCAAAAAGTAAGAAAATGATTTAATTACCTGTGTTGCTGCGACTTCCAGTCCTGAATTCAACAGGGCTTTATGCACAGAAATTGGGCTGGCGCGCGCACCGTTTACTGTCGTCAACATAATAAGCAATCGCAGGGCAGAGTGATTTGTTTACGTTCGTTAAATTGCCTTTGAGCCACTGTTGAGAAAACGAGCTGGGAATCTCATCTTCAGAACTACTCTCCCCGTCTGTGTTCTCATTGATACTGCCTTTTTTTTTCTCTTGGCTGGCTATAGCACTAAAGAAAAATGCCACGTTGTGGATACCTGCAGTATTGGAAAGATAAAAATGCGTCAAACTTTTGCATTCAAATGTTCTTTAAAATTGCATCTGAAACCGGTGTATTGCAAACATACTAACCTGATATTACACGGTCGCACACATCTTGTTTTCCACAAACTGTTGCCCAGGCCTTTGGCAAGGCCTTATCCTTCACTTTACAAACACATTTAGCGCTGATAATGCTACACCTTCTGCTTATTACCGGCGTTAGGTAGCACAAGGCCGTGCTCTTGATGCCCTCACTGTTGAGCTGTCAACATGGCTGTCTTGTTTGCTGCATTCTTCATTCGTAGCACAAATGTTGTGGCATGGGTGCGGTGTTTATATAGTGGATAAGCACTGTGAAATTTTGACGAATAAATTTCAAAGTTTAGCCTTTTGTTGGCTCTGTTTTCGATGTGCTGATGAATAACTATGAAAGATGATTCATTAGTTTGTTTGTCATGTTTTGAAGTCAAATATGTTGACGAGGACGTGTCGGAGATTATGTAACTATCAAATGAGTGTCAGAAAGGGCGTTCCTTTTTTGCACATTCTTTTAAAGTACGATTCGCTGTTGCTAGCGCAAGACAATAAGGACGATCTTGTGTAATTTAGAGGGCAACTTCAACGCAAACAATACAATCGCTCTATTATGATGGTGCTCCCCAGGAGAAATCGAAGCAAAAAAACCAACCCTTTTCGGTGAAGTACAATAACGATAGGATCATTAGACCTGTTCTCTGACTTGTTTTCTCGGACGCTCAAACATTGCAATCAAAACTGTCATTCAATCCAGGTAGCGGCCAGCACCTTTTCTCAGACAATGATTCAAAGGAAAGACCGAAAAGATGTGATACATTTAGTGTCACCATTTAGGAGCGGACTTAGTAATGAAATGCAAGAAATGATTGTATTTCTCAAGCTTTTTTTCAACGGACCTTCTTTAAAAGAAGTTTCTGTAATACTAAAATATGCATGTGTAAATACCATCTTTTCCGTGTGTGATGAAAATTTTGGCTAAAACGAAAATAGAAAATGTATGAAAATGTATGAACTGGAAGTTGCATGACTCCACAAAATCCATAAAATCCATCTTTTCCGTGTGTGGTGAAATTTTTTAACGGTAAAACCATTTAAGA